TATATATATATATATATATATATATATACGCGTGGCCTTGTTGAACGAAAAGTGCTTGCTTGTCGGTTTCGTTAACGGAAGGCGTCGAACGGGTTTGCGGTGTGCCTGTTGGTAATGCAAAGGCCTATCCACTCCTATGGTCTTGTTGCTTGTCGGTTTCGTTAACGGAAGGCGTCGAACGGGTTTGCGGTGTGCCTGTTGGTAATGCAAAGGCCTATCCACTCCTAATACTGGTCTTGTTTGTTTTGCAGCATAAATGCAGCAGCGGTCTACCCGTAAAAACGCTACTGCGGTATTGTACGAAATAAACCCTGTTCAGTTGGAGGTTCCGTTCTCTCATTTCACTGCGAATACAAGATGCATCTATTCACTGACTAGATAGCCAGTTAAATCCGGGCGCTGATAAACCTTCCACAATAGCATTTTTGCTAAAATCAGAGTGAATTAACTGCCAGAATGTTACGACGTTATTTTCACGAGTCATCAGAATAGGTCATACTACTTCTCTGTTATTCTTCCACGCATTTGTACGTAGATTCCGTTAACATCCACTAGCTCGCTCTCTGACCCTCCACTAGTATATCAAAGATCCAGTTTTCGCTGCACCTTAGGAGGTTGAGGGCTCAGCTATGTGGGAGCAGTTGCACAATCAACTATCCGAGAGAGAGAGAGAGAAGTAGAAGCATGTACTTCAGTAGGTGATTTACCTAAATATTAGTAACTCGGGCGGGTTTACTGGTTACTGATCAGGTGGTGGTCGGTATGTTTACCGGACTTGGTGATTGGTTTGTGATCCTTACGTCACCGTTCCAGGAGACATCATCAGTACGCGAGCGGGTGGATAATTCGTCCACTTCCATTTGCAATCAAGTGTTTCTCAAAGGTTAGGTAATATTCGCAACGTGATTGCTTGCTTAGACATCAACTGGTACGCAACCTAGTTGATCTTTCGGGATCGTGTTGCATTATGTTCTGATTATCTTGCACTATGCTGACAACCAGGAAGGGATCTATCCACCGGATCGCACTTGACTGCATCAGATTGCTTGAACAAGTCTCACTCGTTTACGTACACGAAGACCAGTAAGGATACAAGTTTAACCGTGACAATGTACAAGTAAGAGAAAAGCTTGAACGTGAATTTATGTAAGTTCGGTACTGAAATGAGAGAGTTATCACCAGACACTTCGGAGCACACAATCCCAAAAGTGACCTCTCTGAACAAAGCAGAACGACTGTCGATAAACCAGGACAGTATAGATTGAGGCACTACCGAGTACGGCACGGCCTAAAAGTTATTTTAGTCAACCATATAGAGCATTCGGATGTTTCGACGGCAGGTTTGTTCACATAGCATCACCTTAAATGGTAGAAAAGGAGTAAGTTGACTACAAAACGATGTCAACCTTGAACACCTATGTCCATATAAAAGAATATCCCAAGCTCAAACGACGTTTCCAAATATCATCATCGGGTCACTTCCATCCGAGAGAATTTAAAAAAGTGGCTGCAATACACAAAAACCGCAACAATAGCTCTTCCCATTGCTGACAGAAAGGCGTAATTTCGGAAGCCTTACGTTCAGTAATACTAAGACTATTCACAGTAGTAAAAGTACATTTTATACAACAAGCTTTTGCTTATGGATTGAGACAAAAATGACTCAGAAGAATGCAAACACTTAGTGGAAATCACACCTCGATTGTGTTTCATTAAGCAATGTCGTTGGGATTTTGGCAATCAAAGTGGAGTTTACTGGGGAACTTCTATTGTTAAAAGTATATTTCTTCTAGCAAGAAAGGGGGTTCCCAAAGTTCTCGACAAACCAACTTATCCCAATATTGGGAGGCGCTCTTGTTATTCTGTTTTTCGTACTGGAAAGCAGTTGCTGTTGATATCTGAGTGAACGCGCTTTTCTCCTAATAACCAAAAACCTGTTTTGATCCAAGTATTCCTTATGTAACTTAGCAACTCTTGATGCAAATTCTCTGACGTTTGATGGGCTGTCTTTATCACTATTTTTGTTAGGGTGATGCGTTGTGCACACGCATGTCTCCAGAATGCTCGAGACACAGAAATGCCATGTTCATATACAACCACCGGGGTCTAGCAGCAGAATTCAGCCTGGAAATCTGTTGGGATGGAATCTACTCCTTCAGATGTTAGTAGGTACATGGACTCCACAACCATTAATGGAATGAGCCCTTTTTTGGAAACTTGGGTCAGAATTATCACAGACCATCCGGTCTATTCACACTTGATTTTCTCTTTTACTGAATACATTACTAGTCATGTGATTTGACCCAGTTGTGTGTTGTTGTATCCAGTTCCGGGGCAAATGAATGGGTGGAAGACGAGAACACATAGATGCGTTCAAATGTCCCTGCACGACTGTAATAGCAGTGGATAAAAACGGATAAAAGGGGTTGCAGAAATAGCAGCGCACGATCCTTTATCCTCACGGTGCTTCATTGCAACGTGGTCAAGAAAACTGGGAGACAGGTTGTTTTGGAAAACGGTAACTGAAGGAGAGCAAACTACAAAGGGCTAATAAAAAGTCTTTCCTACTGTTCGACCATTTGGGTTTACGAAGATCATCTTGTAGTGTGCTAACCTTTCGATCACTTAAAACGGAACCTGAGGGCAGTGTTCCATCGGAGAAGTCACTTAACAAAATCTTATGTCAAGTCGTAATAAAATTGCGCGAGTTTGAAAATTATGAACAGCCCCTATAACTCTCTGGACATCGTCCAGCTGTAGCACACTTTCGGTGTCTAGCTGCCATGCCACACGAATGAGGCACGAGGGCTGAGATACTGTCAGTTCACCCAAGCCTAGACAGGGGAAGTCGAGAGGCAGAGGTCGAGCTCGAACGACCGACCTTCCGTTCTAACCACTTGGTCCATCTCGACCCCACTCTCTGGACATGCACCCTCTTGGTTTCATTATAACTTTGGCCAATAAACCCTAATACTTTGTCCGATGATACTCACGTCGGCAATCTTTGTTTATCTATTGAGAAACTGCCCCTCACTTACTCGTTTTGTTCCATGACGCCATAAGCGGGGGAATTTGATTTCAGCAAGATTTCTTTTCCAATCATTTTATTAACCCTTTCCAACGCCAATAGTGATGCTTCTTCCCGGAGCGCTTTGTCTATCGCCGTGAAACGACACGGGTAGTCCATGTCTTGCGCGACTAACATCTCACAGTTAGCTCGTAATTTGGAAGCTGGTCGATGTGACTCTCACGAGGAGACTGGACTTTACCGTGGAATGATGGTTTGTGTCTCCACGAGCTATACTTGAGGGAATGTCCGCACGACACCAGCTGGCCAATGGCTGGAGGTCTGACGAACACAGTCTTCTGGTCCTCTAGGTCGACGTTTGGAATATGCGTGAATAGTTACTCTGTAAGAATGGTAATGAACCTGCATTTTAAGACAAAAGACGCTGTCTTGCAGTTTGGAGTTCTGAGCCAAAAGCTTCAGCTGAGGGCCTTATTCGTTCTCTTGTCTAGGTTTTGGCGCCCTGACAATATCCCAGCCCACAAACAACAACGTTGAACACTGATATTGTGCTGTCAATGATGATGATAGTCCTTTTGAGTGTGATATTATCCATAGTGAGATAGGCCACACATCTCGTCTGGATGGCGCTCTCCCGCTTTGGCCACTTGATTATTTCGCAACATATATCGTCTAATTGATTTTCATGTACCTAGTGTTGAAAATAAACAACCATAGGGACATGACGTGCGATTTCCTATATACGTGCCAGAAATGAATGGAGTCAGTGCAGTGATAGAGAAGATACATGCGGAAATCCCCTGGTCTTATAATTTTTTGCGAGATATTTTTGTATGTGAGTTTACCAACACTCTTATATGAGCTCACAACAGTGTATAAAGTTCAAACCCACCCAACTGTCCATGAGAAACACACTGCTGTCCAACAGAGAGTAAAACGGTGCCCGGCTTTGCAGAACACGCTGAGTGCCTTGCACCGTAAGATCCTGAATATAGGTAAAAGTTTCCGGTTAGTCCTAACCCCAAACATGTTTTGATAGAATGTAGCCCGTGGTAAGTGGGACAAAGGCAAGAGAAACAACAACTAAATGTCAGTGACTAGTATCTGGAAACATTGTTTTCCACATCACGTCAAGTCCATTCACATATGCCTGAAGCTGGGTGATTTATGGTAAAAGGAAAGGGTAATGTTCTCGAATAGCTGGGCAAGTAACTGCATTGCACATCAAGCTTGTTATTTTAGTTCGACACATTGTGCAAACCAGTGATTTTGGTTGAAGAAATTCAGATCTGTTAAATAGTTTAGTATAGGTAATTTCAAGTGTCAATTCAGTTCGAATGGTTGCACCTCTCCTTAGACATTCTCTCGTTCTGATTCCATCTGTGTATTTATCGGGATGCGGGTACTCATGCGTAAATGCAAGTACTTCGGTTCAACACGTGAGTGTTCTGCGACCGCAGGTTGTCACTATAGGATCAGAGAGCTAAGATATCTCCATGGTGAAGGGTTTTCTGCTCGTCATTATAACAAGAAAATTGGGCGCCACCAGCAACATTTCCATTCGTTAAAAAAAAGCAAATACCCGTAGATCAAGTTTGCCGAAGGAGTAAACAAACTGCGGTTGGATTGCTATTCAGTGCGGACCACGAAGTCGGTCAAATGAGGATGAAAAAATGTGGTCGGTTAATGTTCTGGAGCGTGTGCACAACGTGAGTGAATCAATGAACGCATGTATTCCACGTGTTACATCACAGAAGTAGAACAGTGACAGATGAGGCGATCGATCTGATCTCCAAGAGGAAGGAAATTGGAACGTTTCTGTGAGCACCTTGCAAATGACGCTGCAAAATCACGCGCTTTATGGAAAGTGCTGATCAACAGCTACGAGAATGAGTGTAGTCACCAGCCGTCAGCGAGTACGTCCCATAATAAAATCTCGGAAATCTTGCATGGATAAATACTGAAGAACATTGTTGGAAACATTGTGATTGAACAATTAATTTTTCTTGACTTTGTATACTCATGAAGTTACTGAAAACTCTTAGATATCCCTCGACCGGGCTTCGCCCTTCTTGAGGCTCATCAGATGGGCACATTCCTCTGAGTCAAACTTGTGCTCTAATTGAACCCGAATTGCACGACATTCGACCAATGAGCTTATCTGAATACCACTTTAATTGTGACAGGAGACTTACCCAACTGAACTTCCTGTTTATGATGTTCTTCTTCAACTGGAAACGTCCTGCACGAGGCCGCCTCATGTTTCGATATTCGAGATACCGAAATAAATAAATAAATAAACGTAATACATCACCTACATTGTTGAAGAACATCATAAACGAGAAATTCAGCAGGGTTCCAGATGAGTCTTCTTTGAAAACCAAATTGGTATGTAGATGAGTGACAAACAATTTCCTTCATCTTGTTTATTGGCGGCTTTATTTTGGCCCGAACGTTCAACTAAACAATAACTCTTTGCAGTTTACTTTAAACCAAACAATGTATGGAGACGGATACTGCATTCAAAATCCCATTGTACACTTCCAGCAGACGTTTGCTTTGACCCGCACAGACAGTTGTCATTGGAAAATGGAAACCGGAAGCTTTGTAAACAAAAGCAGTTTTTCGCTACACTGGTACTACCCTGGCGATTCGGCGACTAATTTGCTGGTCATCGGTCCTCTCGTCAGTTAGTTGTGTTTGTCTTTGATTCTGTCTGTTGACTGCAGTACACAAGTGAATTGACAGCAAAACATATCCGGACTGTCCTGCAAACCCGTGATGCAAGTTCTTCACGAAAAACGATTGCTTCGCACTCCGAAGCAGGAGACCATTGAGTGGCCCAGACAGGCGTTTCTCAGAAGAAAAAACAGATACCGTGTTTTGTTTCCAGGTTGGATGTTTACCACGTAAAAACAATACGGCACTTGTCATTGTATGCAACGGAAGAATTCTTATTTGTTTTATTAAGACCGTTCGGATAACTAGTTTAAAACAGTACTAGACAGTAAGAAATGGCAATTGTGGACAGGATTCCTGCTGTAGAGTGTAACTAAATGCACAGTCTACAAAGAGAACGCTAAGAGGATGTAAGTGGTTTTACATGCCTCCATCACCATCAGTCACAGCAGCAAAAAAATTGGTGAATGAAGGCCACAATATTTAGTCCTCTGAGTGAATATGGTACTTAGGTATGTCGTTCGTGGGATTTCTACCCCAACTGTCCACATAATATTGAGCCATGACTTGATTAACACTTTGAAATATGCAATTCGTGGAATACAAGCTATCCACGATCAAGTCCCGAATTATTATCGTTAAAGTTAAGATGCGGGCTGAGGCCTAGCACATCGTAAACTCCCACCTTGCAGAATAACACCCACGCGTTTGAGGCAGACCGAATATGCCGGAGTAATACTCATTTGAGTATATAGCCACCTGAGGTATGCAAGGTGGCGGAATTCCGAAGATGCGTGTACACAATGACCCTGATTACTGGACCCCATAACTTTTCTCGTAGGTAAAAATATGCTGTCCAAAACAGCAGACAGCACACTAAAATTCTGCTGCGGATTTCGATCGCCTTGCATGGGGCATCAGTCCACCTGCAGCAAAACCAGCGGGATGTGACATTCTGTCCAATGACAGTTTGTTCCCCTTCACGAAACCCTAGTGTGGAGCAGCTGCTTTGCTATATCAACTCAGTCCTCTAGAAATACCTTCGTATTGGCGTGGATCATTTGCTTCCTTTCGGAGGCTGAGTGGCACTATCCACTCTCTTTCGAAAGTCTTGGAGGGATTACAAGGTAGGTTCCTGCACTTCATCGAGTGTGTTTTCTCTGGAGGAACAGATGTCACGTCATCCACAAGGAAGAGATGCTACCAAGAGTGAATTAATTCTGCGTGCAACTGATTCTACAGAACTGATCTGATTCAGACCGACAAAACCAGGCAAAAAACGAAAATACGCTGGTAGGTCACCCTTCGCAGCCATGTGGAGTTTATTACAAGCCCCAATATTGCTGTCTTGTCCATCCAACCTCTTAGGAATTTGGCTAGACATGGTCTTTTCATTATAAGTACGACCCACAAAGACAGCAGATGAGAACACTGGTGCTTTACTGACACAGAGTCATGTCAATTTACCTGAATATAGCCTAATAATAGAAAAGAGAGGGAAACCAGGAAGTGAAGGGACCTAAGGCTAGCCTATCACAAACATCCGAGGTGCCCACACCTACAACATTCAGTCAGACAAGCTAGGTAAAAATGACAGCATGAACACCACTGATATCGGTTAACCGTCACTGTTTCCAGTCAAGCACAGGGCGGGTCACTTGGACTCCATCCAAGAAGAACAACATCATTCAACCCATCCACGTTACATTCCCCCAACCTGTCTGGGTATTCACTACCCAGAATTAGGCACCGAAACACTGTGCGTATCGGCAAACGGTACCTCGCACGCATAACACAGCCACCAAAGTCTCCAGTGCTGGATGCATTCAGTGAATGAAGTAATTCATGATTCACCAAAACGCAAGTCTCCTGATAACCTCATCGCAATTTCGCCAATTCAAGCCATACTTCAGAAACACTGATGACCACGGACCTGACAATGCCTCAGAGTCTCCACCCGAATTTACGACCTGTCGAGGCCGTACAATAATATGGCCAAATTTGTAGTCCGATACACGCGTCCCTCGAGAACCAGTGAGATGTCCGATTGATGCAACAATTGGCGCAAATTGGTAAACGTAATCATGGTCTGGTACGTATGTGAATAGAAACGGTGCATGAAAGTCACCAATTTCTGGTGCGGTCCATAGAGTCGATCACTCTCCGGAATTCAAGGAGTGTAGGACACCGATACACATGTCGTCGCTATAACACTCGAAGGGGTGTGAAGACGTAGTTCAAACAGCCGCTTCCAGATCGGAATCCCTTTCCATACGCTTTCAAAAGGCGACGCTAAATGATCACCGCAAAGAGTATGGTTAGGATGGGCGGTCAGGCTACTTCCTCTGTGATTGCCATACTCAATGCGAACATGATGTTTGAAAATGGACACAACTCACATCAGTTAGTTGGGATGGTCTGAGCCCAGAATAGGGGAGAATAAGTTGAAGTACTCAGTGAGGATTTCACCTCTATTTCTGAGGAGCTGGTTAAGGTTCGTCGGGAAAAGCAGCTCAGTGGCGTTTGAGGGACAGGAAGCATTCTCAAGCCCTTGGGTTCCCCAGTTAACTGTCCAGTGCCCCATAACCGGCTGGGAATCTGAATGGGTAACCTTAGTTTTCCGTTAAATCGGTCTTGAATGTGTTCAGGTAAATGACTCAGGCGTTCTTCTTTCCAAAACACAACCGAGCCATTCAACTTGGTGACTGTTTCTTTCCTATAAGAATTCTTTGGGCCCGTTACGTGTACCAGCTGGAAAAGTTTATGCACACTCCTAGAGTCTATCGCATCCTCCATCTTTTCAGACATATGGATGCCCCAAGCTTCTCGATCCACACAGATACCCTTCTTCACCTAAAGTCCGATAGTTTGTCTAGCGATATTGCGCCCTAAACAGGAGGAATACGTGTCAGAACTTCGAGCAATTTCAGGACGTTGTTCGAGATCCGGTAGTCGGGTATGGTTGGTTGCGCCATTCCACAAGCGAAGGGTCCAGCATTTAAGAGGTTTGCGGACAGTTGAATTCAGTGAGGGTCAACATCAGAGGACCGCTTGTACGAAAGGAACTTCGACATGTGGATTTGATGGAATTGTTTTACATCAGGGCTAAAGAGCTTCTTAATGGCCCGGAGCAGTATGTGTGCATCTTGTTGGCCCCCGAAAAGCATAACAAGCATCAGCATCGAACAAGCGCGTGATCCGAGTCCCCATGGATGTTCCGAAACACGCGACCTTCGGTGATTGACCCAAGTGACCTATAGCTAATCGCCACGTGGTCCATGCCTTTTCGAGGTTAGCTCGCATGCCAGGATCATCATTCGGCGCCAATTGTTTCGGAAGTTAGTGCTGCATAGAAACCGTCTATGAGCAGAATTTCACTACATCACGGGTCTGCCGTATTCCGTGCGTTTCGATTCCAGTCCAAGACGACCACCAAAGTGGGTATCAGAAGCGCTGTCTTCCTTCGTTCGCACTCATATCCCTGGTACCAACAACATCTGAGCACTCAGTCCACCATAACAGGGCGCTCGAAGCAAAGTAAAGGCTTTGAGTGTCTATTCCAGTCCAAGACGACCACCAAAGTGGGTATCAGAAGCGCTGTCTTACTACCTTCGCACTCATATCCCTGGTACCAACAACATCTGAGCACTCAGTCCACCATAACAGGGCGCTCGAAGCAAAGTAAAGGCTGTCTTTGAGTGTCTGTTGGGACCAAAGCGAATACTCTGAGCAGAGAGCAATTACGGCTGCGTTTACAGGATACCCTCAGATGCAGCCAAACGAACCACACAGACGACCATAAACGGAAAAGCATTCAACCAGAGACCTTAAGCTCGGTCGCTTAAAACATTACCAACCTGCAGCAACTGCTTGTGGATCACCAGAAGCGAGCACCTTAAAAGCGACCGGAAACCGACAGAGATTTCAGTTCAAGAACCGCACTTTGGTCGCGAATAATCGTTTCCAACGGACGGTATATATCGATAAAAACCGAGTCAAGTGTACACGAATAAACAGTCCACCGTTCATCTTGTTTCAGCGTGCGAACGTACCAGATGAACTGGGTGTCTAGGTTTGAACAATGGTTCCAAGGTGCCTGCTGCCGTAGCGGCCCAGTCAACTGTAGATATTGCGGCTAGTGACAGTGGAGGTGAACGGATGCGTCACACTTTAAGAATGGGTGCACGAAGATGTCGAATGTGAAAGAAAAGGGGGAGGCGTTAGGAGTAGCCGGTCTTTGCTTATCTGTCCTGCTGTGTACAGCTATTAAGGCGATGTGGCTGACACCACGCGACAACCGATTTGGTGCGAAATTATTTGGAACTTTACGATTCACAGTCTACTCAGAACGTATGACCCATGAATAAATAACTTGGATTTGTGAGACAATCCTCAATTTACAGACTTTACTTGGTGCAGCGTTCCCTTGTAGGAAATGCTCTCTCAGATGTGGACTCAACAAATCCACAAATCCAATATACTGGTCCTGGACAGCATATTTGGCGATTCAAAATAGGTGTGTCGGTGTTGTAGTAATGGTTTGGGATAGCTGGACTGCAGCTGTTTGTCAGCTGATCTGTGGAAAATCCCTGCTCACTGCCAGTAGGTTGGTGCACACATGCACAACCAGCAGAATCGAGGAACTGTTGTGTACCAAGAACTATCTTGTTTCACCAGATGAATGTACAGCATTTTTGTGTTTAAAATGCAGCAAAAGTTACGTACCCCCTTTAATGTCGCGAATCCATGGGTGATCAGAAAGCATTGATTCTCACCAAGAAACACGCTATCTGACAGGGACGAACTGCGAGGAAACGGTAAGCTGAGTAATTTGACAACTCAGCGAGCAAATTGAAGAAAATCAACCTCTATTAAATAAGTCCCTTTTTTACTAACGACCTCAGTAGATTTTGCGGTTGGATAGTTATTTTTCATATCGTTGTAGGACAAAGGGTCCAGGTATCCACACAGAAGACCCGCTCATTCGGCATTATCAAAACTACTCTTGCGAAACTCCCTGGTAAGCCGCACACCAACGGCCAGCCCACCGATAATCAGTGTCGATGGAATGAAAGTTGACATCCACTCAAGTAAAACATGATGTTATCGTAATTTCAGAGCCCAGACGTACGAAAATCAGGACATACCCGAAGGCGGATAAAACTAGTCTGTATCAGCGGATGTGCGATGCAAAGATATCACATGCGTAGACAGAAAGTAAAAACCAATTACGTAAACCTACGAAGTCGAATGCCCGGCGCTCAATTAATTGGAACTGTATGGATTACGGATACATGCACGGTCGCATCAGTCAATTGAAAAGCGGTCAAAACTGAGAAGCGCAGCACTAGACCATCGTTCGTGTAACTCTCATGGCACGACGAGAGCCATGGTCAAGAATAAATTTCTGTTGGAAACTCGTCCCTGCGTAAATCCGCTAACGATCAACCATAAGCTACTGTCAATGTGATTGGTGACCTAGTTGTCATACTACCACTTTGGAGTGCGAAAGGGTGGCATGACTGTTCTATGTGCAGTCTTGGGAACAAACTTGTCCTGCCGTGATCTATAGTTAGACGATCGAAAACCCGGAAGAAATTGGCAATGATCAAATCAAACTTGGTAAACACGTCCACCATTTTCGCTTACTGCAGAAGCCTCGATACGAAATGTCATTTAAGGCGGAGAAGCGATGTTACTTCGAGGCAATACGGGGATGACGAAGTCTTTTGGCAACATTGATGGTCAAAAGTTGGGGGATATGTACCGTATATACCAACGGACCTAATTTTTAGCCTATCGGAAGCAAGTCTCTAACCCGTCAATCTGACCAGTGAGTTCATTGTGCATATGACCTCGCGTTGAGTTTACAGCCCTTCCATTACGCATAGTCATATCGCTCTCGTTTGAGCAGTCCTCCTATTCTAACGCAATTATACCAGTTAGTCCATATCAAGGAAAGGGAACACTGGGTTCGAGTGGCATCCGTATTACAGCAAATTAGCACTGTATATCTTTAGCCATACTGTAGTTTAAATCGAAACGCGAAACGAGCCTGTTGACTGCATTCCATCGACCCACATTAACCATCACCCTCGGGTGATATAATTGGCTTGCCCCAGTGCTCAAAATACCACCACCCAGTGATTGCCCTGGTTGTCGCCTGTTCGAAAGTAATAATTAACGTGCATCCAGCACGTGCCGGTGGATTAATGGTAACGCGTCTACCTCACACGTCAGAGGTCCAGGGCTCAGAGTCATGCATGATCAGGGAACATGGACTGCTGATGAGCTCCAGTAGGAACGAAACTCGAGTCCAGGACTAATAGGAAGAGTTTCGCTGGGACAAAAGGACTGCTCAAATGATATTGATTTAAATGCTAACTACAAATTCCGAGAGAGCTATAACGAATTATCTTTCGGGAAGGGTTGGAAAACCGACTGTTTTCTGGGGTTTTCCGAAACGACAAATTCCCGATCGGTTCCAAAAGTTCTTCAACAAATTGTAATAATGATTCCGTTAGGTTTCCTCGTCCTTTTCGGCTAGAACGCCTCGTAATCAGACTTTTGAAAAGTAAACTAGATTTGTAAGCTGTGACTAAGTCACCAAACACTTCACCGCTTGATAGAATCTAAAATCAGATAATTTTATCGATAGACTAGCATACGTCATTGACATGGCATCCACGGGAAGTACGGACTTCCGTGAAAGGCAGCGAAATTCTGAAGTGCCATACGGAATTTTAATCAATTTGTTCACTGAATGATAGGCAGTAATCACATCTTGTTGATATTACTTTTTTCAGTTCATTTGCATGTGCTGAGGTTTGCATGCCAACACTTAAAAAACTATCAACAGTGGATATTTTAAGCTTTCACCTGTCGGCCACGAAGTGTCCAGTAACCGTAGGCATTGTTATGCAAGTAGGCGCATTCCCCGAGTTTCCGTCATCAATATGTTCTGCTTGAATCCAAATTGGACTGTTTTCGACAAACACACTCATTTGCAAATCAAGTTTGTTTCCACAAGGGACTGAAGTGAATCTCTCGTTGATTATATTCTACAACTAAATGTGCTGTATACAGGCCGCCTCATGCTTCAGTTGATACGATATTCGAGATATCGCGATACTTGCATATTCGTATTGCACATTCAACTGCCTGGAAACATCACAAACGAGAGATTCAACTGGGTTCCAGATGAGTCTCTCGCAAAACCAAATCTGTATTTCGCTAATTTCGTGCAATTCGGTCTCAAGTAGAACGTAAGCTTGGCGGAAACTCGGGGACTGTGCCTACCTGATGAACCCCATGAAGGGCAAAACCGGTAGTGGGCTGTTGAAGAATTTTCAGCAACCTTATGAGTAGTTCACTACGAATAAACAGGGAACGTAGTTTAATTCTAGCCCAATCTCCCGTTTATGACAAGTAGCGTATCATGCCGAAAAATCTTCTGGGTTCACTTAAACTGGGTTTCCCAAACGTCCCTCAGTTTATTCCTCCCAGTAGAGCATGTCCCACTTAGCCGTGTTGCTCACCGATGTTAAAATGCTTTCGAAGGAAAAACAGCCGCCCGCCAATACATATTGAAAACATTTTCAGTAAGGTGTTTATATTGTGAAAAACAACGAGGGAAGCATGGCGCTTCATCATATCACGAACTAGCGAGCTCTTGTATTAGGTTATGAACTTCGTCCTTGTTATACAGATGAAAATTGTATTGTGAACTAACTGTGGCTAGCTGAAAAGAAAGAATATGAAGGCTGTCCCCAAGTGACCTACCTCCACATTTGTCGAATCCAGTTTTTCCTCCATGACTTGTTTGAGAATGGACAATGCGTGCTTACAACCTTCATGCAAGGTCATGTTCTAGAACCAAGTAGGATTAGGTTTACGCATTAGTCGAATGGAAAAGCACTAACGCTATGGAAAACTTCTTGCAATGCCTGTTGCGCGCCTTCGGATCCAGATCCAATGGCCTTCGCGTCGTAACGGATGTATGTTCCACTGGGATCCATGTGTATTCTAGGGTTGAAAAAGTTACAAGGAAAGATAGGACAACTTACAGCTGAGGACCGTTCTCGTCGATACCAGCGAACATGAGGGCAGCACCGAATGGGCGACTCTAAGGCAAAACGAAAAAAGACGGGTTTCCACGTAATACTGTGTGAGGAAGGACGAATAATGGAGCATAACTGATTGGTACACAGAAGAAAGATGTCCGCATGGACACACAGAAAGGGTGCCGTAGAGTGCGAATCGGAATAGACGTTCCAGAGGCAATGTGCACCAACGAATGGGCTAAACTACTAACAGTGTATAGGTAAAACAATAGGAAGTCCAGTGGGACAAACATGTGAAGCGGAATAGTTGAACAAAAGGGTAGTGGTATGCGGACCAAACTGCAAAGCACGTAGAGGTATTCTAAATACCGTTCTGTTGATAAACAACGCAGGATGTTTTGCACACCCTTGATTTTGGAAAATGCACCTGATGTTGACAACTGTTAGGATGAAAGGATTCAACTGCGCGGAAATGGAAACTGTGCGACAAAAAATTAGCATCTGTTGGAGTAGTAGTTCCTAAGGTGGGTTACGTTGTCCCCTTTTGAGGACGATCAAGCGAAACCGGACATATGGATGGAAATACGCTTAGCAGCATGGCCACTTGTGATTAACTAGCATGGTTGCCCCGTTTATTACTGAAATGCCAATTGGTGTCGTCAGAGCAGACAATCCGAATAGCGGTCAATGCCTTGTAGTGCGGAGCACTGTTCGGGTTCATCTGTACTCGGTAAAATGAATCCGTTGATCATGGTTCTTGAGTGTATGTGGAGCAAACTGGGATGGCCTAAGGCCATTCACTGCCATTGGGCTTTTGATTTTATTTGCTTTATTATTGCTTTTATTTTTTTATTATTTGATTATTATTATTTTTTTATTTTTTGTTATTCTGCTATTTGTTATTTATTTATTTATTTTTTATTGTTTGATTTATTTGCTCGTTATGGGCCTCGACTTGACCATTATGGTTAGATGGTCTGTCGAAGTAGTCCAGGATAGTGGACTGAGATTGAGACGCGTTAAAAATACATTCTCAATAAAAGTGATGACGAGCCGAGCTCAATATTCAAAACGTATCGAGACAATTAGCTCAAGGAGGAAATATGAGACCATAGTGAATTTTTTGAGAACGCTGCATTCAGTGAGGAGTTTCAGTAGGGCCAGTGTGCCTATTTCCAAATGTAACAACAGGCCCGGTATCTGTGAGCTTGGTGATGTAACTTTTTCTGACTAGTCGACAGTCTGATGTTTGTGCGCCTGTGTCTACCCACTCAAGCTACCCACGGTAGTGGCTGCTCAAGATGAACCAGAACGGGGAAAAGCCTACAGGACCTCTTCAAAGGAATGGCCTCTCTTCAGTGGGATATCTCTAGGGGGATGCCACCATAAACCATTCAAGTAATGAGCTGATGGAAGCCGAAAGTACAATGGATTGAAAAGTAATATTCGAGTGGATGTGCAACGAAACAAAAAATCGCTCAGATTTCCCTATTTTCAGCGAACTTGGTGATCATTGCTAAGCGTGTCCTCTACCCATCGTGAAAACTTTCGGCTCACCCTTCAACCCGCAAGCTGTTTTACTGCCCAAAATCATTCGAAATATACGAATATGTTGTTTTTCTCACACTGTGTTTTGCCTTTGTGGGTACGCGTCTACCAGAACACACAAATCCAGATAGACGATCGAAATGACCGGAGTGTGGGGGGATGCGGCAGCTCCGATCAAGAACAAGTGCCTGTATCTTTAAGTAAACTATGGGTTGAAAGAATCTCAGTTACTGGAAACCGTGGTAAAAGGGTAAAGTTTGGTGCTTCCGCTTCTAGTTCTGAATGAATAATTCAGTCTCTATGACCTTAGTGATCTCACTCAAATTTTGTTCCATTGTGTAACGCAAATAGTGGGTTAAGGAAAAGAAACAGCCGCAAAACCTTTAGTTTAAGAGTGCTTCGTACACCACTCCAATAAGGCTATCTTTATCATCATCATCATTGTCAGCTATAATAACCGCGTACTCGCCGTACAGTGGTTGAAGCTGCCGCAGTTTCGTTCACCGATGGTTTGGGGGGGGGGAGGTAGCTGCGCGTTGCAGGCGGGAGCTGATAAACTGGTGCATAAATCCAGCACTGTCAGTGGGCTGTCAAGTGGGGGGGATTGGAAAAGGAGCTACGCATTGAAGGCAATAGCTTGGATGCACGAGCGCCATTGAGGGCGCGACTGGGCTACCTTTAGGTCAATCATCAACCCCAGCTTCGTCACTAGTTGATAATACAAAGCCGAAATCACTAAAGTGGACACACTGTCCCTGGATTTTTCGAATGAAACAACTGCCTGGACATACATCCAGTGAGTCCTGCTGAATTATCGCAGATGGCTAAATACAGAAACGATGCTGAAAACGATGTCCTTAAGATCTAATAGGCGCTAGTATCACACCAAATGGAACCATTCAGCCATTGCCTCTGTCCTGGAAATAACCGTACGTACATATAAGAAGCACGAAGATACCAACTAGCAGCGCAAGATTAGACACAAACAATCGAGAAATTGAGGGGAACACTAACCAGGGATTCTTTTGGTCGAAATCTAGCACGCTAGCTCTTACACTATCTCGAAATCAGCGTGAGAAGATCCGCCTTCCGTGTATCAATTCCAAACACTGGCTTACACCATCACGCGGGAGAGCGTCAGAGACAAGATAAGTTGGTCAAACCGAAAAGCTTTAAGCACTCGCAAGCAAATTTTCAGAATGCCACGTGCTCTTCAAGGCGCAGGAAGCACTAAGCAGGAATACATTATTTCACGCCCATCGGTAGATTTACTTCACATGCTTATTGTGGACTATTCTGTCGAGGACTGAAGAACTTCATCTGCTGTGGACGCTTGGTGTCATCCCCTCACTCCCGGTTCACATATCTGTTTGGAATCCCGTTCTACGCAAACTTCGATAAACGACGTGTTTTAACTATTCTCAGGAATTTCAAAATTTGTTTTGAGGATTCTGCTAATGTGCCTCGAACTGTAATTATGACAGTTCTAGATAAGATAATCTTTCAGCTGTAACACCCTTTCGGTGCCTAGCTGCCATGCCACCAGAAGGAAGCACGAGGGCCGGGATACTACCAGGTTGCCTAAGCCTAGACATGGGAAGTTGAGAGGCAGAGGTCGGGTTCGAACCGCGGACCTTCTGGTCAGTAAATTTGCGCTTTAACCACTAAGCAATCTCGCCCTATAGGTGAACATTCTTCAACCAGTGGATTAATACTGTCTTCGATTCGCATTTGAGTTGCAAGCGAAAGCGTTCTGACTGATACACAGGCAACACCGTACTTAAAAACATATCAGATAATCGGTGATCAAACACTACTATCGTTCAGTTTTGAAGGGCATGGTCGCAGACATAATAAATAAATATAGGCGATGGATGTGGAAGGGTCACAGGAGAATATAAGATATCGTTCTGGAAATACAAGTCATCGGTTGGAAAGAGGCGAAGGAGCCAACTCTCGTAAACCGCGACCGTCAACACCGTTGTGCAGACTATCACCCCAAGCAACCGCCAGCTCTTCCTTGGTGTTCACGCATGCAACATGGACTCGGGTCGGAAGGTTGAGATCCCGAACAATCTGGCCAAATGCGGAATCGTTGAGCACATTGCGTAGTACTCGGCACTGGGTAGAAAGAAGCTTTTCCATACGCGCCCTCCGCTGTATCGGGATTGTTGCACTCAAATTTTTGACACCAGGTCCCGATTCCCATGTTGTTTACCGGCGTGGATGTGGCTGATCTGGGTGTCCTTCGGTAGCCAGCCACGAATAGATCGCCTGATGTAATTGTTCAACCTTTTGAGCGTGTTTCGGTGGACTTGGCCGAGCACGAGCGAATATGTCAGACTCAGTACCAGGCAATTACTTGTGATTTCCATTATTCGATACTTCTTCAACGGGACATGCATCACCTCATCAAGCAGTCTGAGCAGCTGCTGTTGGTGGTTGCAGACTCATTTCCCCCTGGAAATGAAGGGGATGCCTAAATATCACGGTGTATGTCGGGCCTAGAGGGTCGATGAGTTCTTTGGTGAAGCAAAAAGGTTCGACTGAGACCGCTATCACCCGATATTT